AATTGGCCATGCGAATGTCCATCATCCCCGGTAGGGCTTCCATCACATCATGCACCGTTCTCATCAGGTCCCTCACCGACTGCTCTAGCTCGTTGAGGCGCTCACCAGTCTCCTCCTCCGGGATTTGTTCCACGGGTCGGTATCCCGGAGGTGGCTTGCTTCCATCACATCATGCACAGTTCTCATCAGGTCCCTCACCGACTGCTCTAGCTCGTTGAGGCGCTCACCAGTCTCCTCCTCCGGGATTTGTTCCACGGGTCGGTATCCCGGAGGTGGCTCATAGTCCCCTTCACTTGGAGGCGCCGATGCTCCCTCTCCAAATGGTTCATACATCCAATCCTCAGTGTCACGGAGGATAGCTCTATACTTCCCGCCATCAGCCGGCTTCTCCGTGTCGGGAAATAGTCCTTTATCGAACAGACTCTCCCGAAGTCCACTGCCACGGCGGGAATAAACCTCCCTGGTGCCCTTGGCATTATACAAGGTCCAATCCTCCTGCATTGGTGTCTGCCGCGGGCCCCATTGCGAAGGGGTCGGAGGCGGCCAAGACAAGTATGCAGGTAGCCGGGGAATCGTTCCCCCCACCGCACCCAACGAAGATGCGGCCGTCGTGGTGATCAACGTTGTGGAGGTCGTTGGGACCGATCCCGCGTCCCCCTCCGTGTTAGGTGTGGTTCCCTCTGTCCCGCTCATGATCTCGCCAGACTCGGGACGACAGGAACGATGAGAGTTCTAACAATATGTTGGGATCCCAAGCATCGAGAATAAATCCACGTTTTAAACAGCAAGATTTTATTTCAAAGCATTGGAAAGATACTCAAACACGTTCTTTGTTAGAACTGACTACAAACGGTTAGGGCAAGCATAATAAAGGGATTTGAAACAGGTACCGAACCAATGGGTCACTTTCCCGCTGGCGGGTGAACGAAAACGGTTTCGCGCTCATTCCCTGAGAACCAGGCTATCTCCAGACATAACACAGGTGCAGTTCCCAGGCTCTAAAAGCAACAAGCTGGCAGTGAAGCGAACTCCCCCAATACATCCTCCAGTTGTTTGGCTTAGGCATTACAGCAGAATAAAATACTGGCGAACAGGCGGGGGGGGGGGGAGCAACTGTACAAAGATACAAGTAACACAGAACACCATGGCAGCTTGCTGACAGTAACTCTGTTTAGGATTGCATTTTAAGTAAGCCTTATTCAACATAGTGGGACTTACTTCTGAGGAGACGTGCATAGGATTGTGCTACATATCTTTTGAAGAAACAGTGGTGTAATGCAAATACATCTAGTTAGCACTGTCACATACCAAGGAACAAATGTGTTCAACTTTCACTATATACCTCATTTTTTAAAAACAAAGGAAACAAAATGTAAGGAGGTATGAAACGATTTCTTAGGTTTTAAGGCATCTAGTATTTGTTTTGCTTATGTGTGTGAAATGTTATGTAAACAGTAAAGGTTTCCCTTGCTTGAAAGCCAGTCGAATCCAACCCTAGGGGAAGGTGCTCATCTCCATTCCCAAGCCCAAGAGCCAGCACTGTCTGAAGACGTTTCCCTGGTCATGTGGCCAGCATGACTAAATGTTGAGGCGCACAGAATGCTGCTAATTTCCCACTGAAGTGGTACCTATTTATCTACTTGCAGTTTCTTGCTTTCGAACTACTAGGCTGGCAGGAGCTGGGGCCAGAAATGGGAGCTCACTCCGTCAGGCGGCACTAGGGTCTTGAACTGCCGAACTACAGAACTTCCGGTCTGCAGCTCAGTATCCTAACCTCTGAGCTGCTGCAGCCCCTTATGTAAACAGTCGGAATGTGCAACTGTTCTCTATTTTTATATTGGTTTATATTCTAACCAAGACTTTTGATGCTTTAGTTTGGTAGATTTGTCTGAATTGTGAACAGTTGTTACACATTAGTTAGTATGTCATTATACACAATGTATAATGTGATTTACCATTGCACAAACAATACTGGAAAAGTGTACATTTTATGTGGAAAATTAGGTGCGAGGAATCAAAATGTGGCACAAAATTAAAGATTTGAGTTCTATGCAAGGGAGAATTGAATTCAAAATGGTCAAAGCAACAGAGATTAAAAACTCAAAATAATCTGTAACAAAATTATGGGAATCAAGATGTATAAATTGTGGATTCAACGTGCAGAATGCCCTTGTATTTATACAGAATCAAACATTGGTCTGTCTTTCTTAGTAATGGTTTTATATTGCTGGCTAATCGCTGTTACAATAAAATTCATTCATTCTTAGTAATGTCTACTCTGACTGGCAGAAATTCTTTTAAATTGAAGATTAAACTGTAAACCTTCTGTCCTGAATCTGCTTTATACCAAGTAGGACTGTTAGGGACTCTGGCATACCTAAGGGACCGCCTTTCCCCACATGTTCCCCAGAGAGCACTGCGTTCAGGGTCCCAAAATAGACTGGCCCTCCCAGGCCCCAAAGACACCAGGCGAGCTATAACCAGGGCCAGGGCCTTCTCAGTGGCGGCTCTGTACTGCTGGAATGAGCTCCCAGAAGCGATCAGGGCCTTGTGAGACCTTTTACAGTTCTGCAGGGCCTGCAAGACAGAGCTGTTCCACCAGGCTTTCAATCAAGGAGCGGCATCAAACATCTGAGAGGAGTGATCCTGTGCCCTGGCATTACCATCCACAGCCTGTGCCCACCACACAAATAAGCTGAATGTTGAGCTGGTTGAGAAGAAGGAGGAGGAGATTGGATTTATACCCCGCCCTTCACTCGGAGTCTCAGAGCGGTTTACAAACTCCTTTCCCTTCCCCTCCCCACAACAGACACCCTGTGAGGTGGGTGGGGCTGAGAGAGCTCTGAGAGAAACTGCTCTTTTCAAGAACACCTCTGCCAGAACTATGGCAGCTGCGAGTGGAGGAGTGGGGAATCAACCTGGTTCTCCCAGATTATAGTCCGCGCACTTAACCACTACACCAAGATGAGTGTACTATCACCTAAACGACACTGTTATTAGGTTACTGTTCTAGCACTTTATTAGTTCATTGTTCTAGCACTTTGTGATAATTAGTAATTTGTTTATGAATGGTTTTAATTGTATTTATATATGGATTTTATGTAAGCCGCCACAAACCTGCTTCGGCAGGGAGGGAGGGGTATTAATTGAACGAATGAATGAATTAGTCCATTTTGCTCACTATTGACTGCTCTGATTTTCAGTGATGCTATGGGACCTCAGGCAGAGAGAGGTCTTTCCCAATGTCTAACACCCTAATTGTAGGTCCTGGGGATTTAACTTGGAAATGTCCATGTTCAAGTATGTACTCTACCAGTATATTTGGCAATCTCCAGATGGGGCCTGGAGATCTCTCAGAATTACATCTGATCTCCAGACTACAGAGGTCAGTTCTCCTGGTGGAAATGGCTGCTTTGCAGAGTGGACTCAATGGCATTATAACCTGCTGAAGTCCTTTCCTCCCCAAACCATGCCCTCCCCAGGATCCACCCCTATAATAGCCAGGAATTTCCCAACCTGGAGTTGGCAACTCTACCAGCAGGGGTCATTTCCTGCAGGAGCGCACAGGAGCGGAGCTCCAGCAGTAAAGAGCCCAGGGAGTAGGCACATGCAACAAGCCCCACCCCCTGCTCCCAGCAGCCCTCAGTCAGAGCAAGAAACAGCCACGTAAGTTGCAGAGCTTCCCCCGACCCCCCCCCCCGGTCCAAAACAGTCAACAGTCCAGTGGCACCTTTAAAACCAAGTTTTGTTCAGGTACAAGCTCTCCCTCCTCTGCGGGGACAGATCTGCAAACCCCCCCCCCCCGCAATAGCTATTAATCAAAAACAGTCCAGTGGAGCCTGAGTGGTGGGTGTTGCCTTCTGACACACTTCCGGTGATGTCAGGGGGTGTGGCATATGCAAATATGTTATGCGAATGAGTTATGCTAATGAGCTCCGCCACCTCTTTTTCTACGAAATGACCCCTGTCTACCAGTGAGCCATTACTCCTCTTCCTTGCAGCCCAACAGCCATGTATTGATGCCTACCAGGCTGCTAATCAAATCCTTGTTTGCTGTTTGCCTGTGGGGAAAGAGATTTACAGTAGAGTCTGTGCCCAACAGTTGCCATGCAGTCCTAAGGTCTAGTTATTTGTGTTTTTATTAAATGTGAAAGGGAGGTTGTTAGGAAGCACTCAACAACGTTCTTTTTTGTCTTTTCTGTACTCCTGTAAAATTGCAGTTGCAACACTGGCACTGATTTTTGGGAAGCACCAGCTTCTCTTTTCCTGCTTTTTGGCTCTGACATTGTTGTCCGGCTAATGTATTTTTTCCTTGTGTTGCAGCGAGATCAGAGCAGGCAGCTTATACACTTACTGGGTTGCTGTTGTTTCTGGAAGGGAAGAGAGTGAAGCATCTCCTCCTCTTGCTTATGTCCATGGAAGTAGCTACTGTGGTGATGGGATAATCCAGAAGTAAGTATGCAGGGTTTTAGCTTGACCTTGAAGCACATCTTGGCATCTTTCTTTCCTTTGGAAATAGTCTGATTTTCTGAATATAGTCTGCAATCTATATGTCATTTTCTTTCTCTTCGGGTTTTCCAGCTCTTCTCTGTTCTTGTCCCATTATTATTTGCCCTAATTCTAGTTTGGGACACAAATGGTTTGACTTTCCATGTATACATATAAACCATGGTTTAGAGCTGCTTGTCTGCTTTTCTTTCCATCTGCTTAATATTTCCATCTTTCAAAATGGCAGTCACCAAAAGCAGAGGATCAACAATAGTGTATGGCTTATCAATTTAAACAAGAGCAATTGTTATCCACCTTCATTTTTAAAATTTCTGTCCAGGGATTCCAGTTCTCTGTGTTATGCTCTTGGTTTTATAGATCTGTTTTGTATCATATACAGCTGTAGTTTTCATCCCAAGGGCCAGGATCCTGAGATGGCTTGCAGGCCCCTATACAGTTGCAGTTGGGGGGGGGGGCTGTGTTTTTAATGACCATGCACAGAGAGAAAAAGGACCCCCTGCCTAGCTTTGCATGCAAGCTGAAAGAATAACAAAATGATGAGGTGAGACCATTCAGCAGTGGAGAGGATTCTTCCTTGGTTCTAACCCCTGGTTTATGTGCCGTTAAAATTGAATGTCTAATCTCCCTTTGGATGTGGTTATACTTACTATCAAATATCTGGACCACAAAAAGTAAAACTTATGGAAACTAGCAGGACAAGCAGTAATGGGCTGGCTAGGTAGACTGGAAGCTAGGACAAGTTTATGAGCAGCCTGAATAGTCCTTACTAGTCAAAGCTTGAAAATTAAGCTGGGTTGTCCATGTTTAGTACTTGGATTAGAGACCCCCAAAAAAGACCAGGGTTACTCACCTCTGCCTTGAAAACCTTATGAGGGGTTTCCATAAGTCAGTTGTGACTTGACAGCACTGAATTATAATTACAAGCTTTTGCACAAGCTGCTACCTGTGAACTTTACTTTAGGGTTAGCCAGGGAGACCTAGCTCCATGTACGAATTTACTCAGAGGCAAAACTGAGTTTCCAAGAAGCAGGCCCCTTAATAGCTGCCCCAGTTCTTGGTAGGATAGTTCTATCAGCAGTTTGCTATCCCTATAAGCAGGGCTCTTTTTGTAGAAAAAGCCCAGCAGGGACTCATTAGCATAATAGGCCACACCCAACAGCAGGAACTCATTAGCATATTGGGCCACACCCCTGACAGCACAGCTCTTTAGCACATTAGGCCGCACCCACATGTTACCAGAAGTGTGGTTATCCAGCCACACCCACCTTTTGCTTGTTACTCTGTTTACCTTGTCTGTTGTCAAAACCCAGGGCCTTTTTTGTAGCAGGAACTCCTTTGCATGTTAGGCCACACACCCCAATGTACACAATCCTAATGAGTGTCTGCTGTTGGGTGTGGCCTATTATGCTAATGAGTTCCTGCTGGGCGTGGCCAACTTGGGAGCCAGCCGGAACTCCATTCCTGTGCGTTCCTGCCCAATAGCTGCCCTGACTGTAAGTCTGACAAATTCAGGTGGGTCGCCATGTTGGTCTGAAGAAGCAGAACAAAGTTTGAGTCCAGTTGCACCTTTAAGGGTTGCCAGGTCTGGGTTGGAAAATACCTGGAGACTGGGTGGATCCAGGAAAGGATGGGGTTTGTGGAGGGGAGGGGCCTCAGCATGGTACAATGCCATAGAGTCCACCCTTCAAAGCAGCCGTTTTCTCCAGGGGAGCTGATCTCTGTCAGCTAGAGATCAGTTGTAAAAGCAGGAGATCTCCAGGCCCCACCTGGAGGCTGGCAACCCTAACCTTAAAACCAATAAAGTTTTATTCAAAGTGTAAGCTTTTGTGTGTGAAAAGTACGCAGACTTTGTTAGATCAAGATCAAGAACAAGACAACTTTAGCCGGCTCGCCGGCCGGCTTATATCCCCATGAACCCACCACCCAAAACACACACACACCCACTTCCCAATAGGTCCAAACTATTGGCTGAGAGTCCCACAGGCTCTCAGCCTGGAGCCTAGCCCTCTGATTGGTGCGGGCTAGGATCCGTATCGTCCATTGTCTGTCGGAGCGAAGCTCGACGCTTGCGCTTGACTGAGTGGTGCCCAAGCTGACCATGCAGTCGGATCCTGATACACTACAGTGTGCAAAGCACACTTCTTCAGACAAATTGGAATAAAATCTCCTCAAGGGATACTTACAGGAAAAAAGAGGTTGGAGGCAGCCGTTAGGAGGGGCTACTCAGAGCCAAGATGCATATGCAGAGCTGAAATTGGATCAGGTGGCCAGTAAGATTAATGGATGGCAGCAAATTAGCATGTTAATGCAAGAGTTAACAAAGAGGTGTGAGAATGAAGCTAGAATCCAGCACTAAGTCTGACAGTATTCAAAGGAGCTTTATCCCTAGTAAGTGTGCTGTCCCATGGTGTTTAATTGGAGAAAGTTAAACTTTCCCCTGGTGTCCCTATGGCTTAAAAGTATTTAACTTTGTGGAATGAGGTGGTGGGGATCCATACCAGCAGCAATGAAGATGGGATTGTGCTTTGCCTCTGGTGCCACCTTTTCAGAAGATGATATGGAGAAAGGGTCTTACAATTTCAGTGACTCATAAGAAAGTGGCATTTAATTAAAGCTCATGGAACCGGTGCTGTCCTATTCCCTCTTCCCTGCTCTCCTCCCCACCCCCAATAATTTCTGGGTGTTAATTGCTGACAAGGAAAAGACAGAAAATGTTTCCAGTGTCTTGGTGCTGCCGTTAAGTGAGAAGGCCAAGGAGGCCTTTCTGCTGGGGTGGGTTATATTCCAGCTGCCACACAGGAGGACAGGTTTCCAGGGCAACCTCAAAGCAAAGTTTGCTCTGCAGCCACAAAGGAGTCTGAGTACCTTGGGGGAGGGAGACAGGTTTGAACTCTGAAACTGACGACTAAATGTCGTGGTCCCTCTATCCACTTTCCCCTCCTCATCTGATCTGCTGGGTAAAAAACTCTGGCTTTTTCTCCCCCTTAATTTTGTAAAGGGATCAGTAATGATAAACTGAGGGTTTTTTTAATTACTTGTTCCATAATTAATGTACACCTTGTAGGGTACCTACCTGCTCCAGAGATTGAAAGTTCTTCCCCCTGAGCTACAAGTATATTTTAATAAATAAGGGGGGTGGACAGGTCTCTTCTTTCAAATTTGCATATTAAAAGATAGATAGATAGATAGATAGATAGATAGATAGATAGATAGATAGATAGATAGATAGATAGATAGATAGATAGATATAGATAGATAGATAGATAGATAGATAGATAGATATAGATAGATAGATAGATATAGATAGATATAGATATAGATAGATATTGATATAGATAGATAGATAGA